AGGTTCTCAGGGCTTAATATAGCATCCCAAATCCTCTTTATTATGGGATCCAGCCTTAATAATGTTCTTTGCCCGGAGCGGATATCCTTTGAAAGATGCCAACTCCGGAAGCCCTGAAACCACAGTGCAACTGTTGCATCACCTGTACAGCTCGACTCCAAGTATGAATCGTAGTTCGAGGACGGAAGGTTCGACTGATTGGACGGTGGTCTCCAGTGAATTGTGGTTAACACACGCTGCCCCAGGGACATCCGAATCAGGCTTTAGTTCCATTTTCTTTTATGACCCACCTTAGTGTGATGAACAGCAGACGGGGCGGACCCCATAGTCACGAAGACCTGATGTTCAGTGATGGAAACCGGTAACTGTTGTCGCGAGTGGTGAACCACGTATGACCCCGCTAGGTTAGACAAGGTATTAAATGGGACGACAGCAAAGCTGCCTACCACCATAGTTGGATGGTGGTTGTGTCGGGCCTCGAACCATAGGGTCCAAAGCACGCCTGTGAAAACGACTAAATCACTACGGTGCCATATCTCTCAATCACCTGTATTGGTTTTTATGTTATTGTAGCACTTCAAGGTCATGAACTGATTTTTTCGTCATACACATGCTTGCGTCAGGATGAGTTTCAGACAATCTAAACCAAGACGAGTATGACATACATGGAAAAGGATGAATAGTGTTTTAGAAAGCAGTTTCACACTCAATTAATGACGCTTCTTGTTGTGCTTAAATTAGTGGCGGTTTGCCGACCACCGGTGGAGATGTGCACACCTTTGCTTTAATACGGCTGGCTCCTTAAGCAGGACCAGCGGATTTCATGAATGATTATAAAGTCCTTCAAGAGTTTGGTTTACCGTCAGTTTCAGTTTCTACAACCACTAACCATGCACTATCGTGTGCCGGTATTGGTTGATGTCTTTTGGCTGCCCATTTGGATGGTTTACAGTCAGTCCCAAGCGTCGCTTTTCTTTTCATCTAGAGGGCGCACATTTATCCTTCACATAGTCAAGTGCGGGTGGCAAGATTGCAGTATGCTGGTACATAACTACCGATAATCCGCCAGCGACTCGTTCGCCTTATCAGTGGTGTAGATTCAGTCCATAAATCTAGTCAGCCCTGCTCAGTTCACGGATTTTCTCTATCGTGGTTGGATGAATCGGTAGATCTCGTCTGCTTAGTCAGAAGTTGCTTTCTTCCCGTATTACTGAGGTTTTGGGCTTCAGCTACCATCAATCTGTTTTGGTTCACCTGTCTTGCGATTTACCGGGATCCGATCGCTGTCGCACACCACAGTCATCTTTTAATCAGAGATGAGAGTTGCGTAAGTGATAGATCCAATGGTTAAGGAATGCTTTTGGGACATCATAATCTGTCAGTTCAAAGGTGGCAGTCTTATACGATGCGTGTTACACGTGCGAGTACGTCCGTTTGTCTTTTTGTGCGGCCAGTTCTGCTCTATGGTTGCGAGACCCTAAATTTGCGCGTGGAAGATATTCGTCGTCTTGAAGTATTCGACCTCGGATGTTTACGTAGTTTGGCTCGGGTTGGGTAGAGCGAGCTTGTAAGCAACTCTGAGGTGAGGCGTCGTGTATTTGGTAATGATTCGATGGAGAATTCGTTCTCCCATCGAATTCAGATTAGTCGGCTTCGCTGGTTAGGAAACGTATTGCGCATGTCCAGTCATCGTCTGCCGCACCGCACCTTATTCGCAGTTGCGGCTTCAGGTTGGAAGAAACCGCGTGGTAGTCAACAGATGACGTGGAATCGATGCATGAAGAAATGCACGGAGCGCTTAGGTGGAATCGGTGTCTCCCGTCCTCCAGGTTGGGGTCCGAAAGACTCTGCAACTGGCTGGCTGGAGGATATGGCGACTGACCGACAGCAGTGGCGCTCTTGTTGTCATTTCTTGACAAGGCAGAATGCTTGAAAAAAGGTATGCATGAATACTTAGATTGTGTGCTCTGTTTGTTGATCATAGAGGTTCACTTTCTTTGCCTCCCTCCAAGTAGGCCCAATCCCTTTCCATCGTTTACTTTATCATTTGATTTGTGTACATTGTGAGCTTGGCAGCGATCAGTGACGTTCGCTTCACTGTATCTCACTGCACGATGACGGGCTACGACCAAGTTTGGAGAACAAACTATTCGACACATTCCTCTAACCAATACACGATCAATACAGGACCTTGAAATATCATACCTAACTTAGTTACTAGAATGAATGGAAAGTGTAAGGATATTGCGCACTATATCCGTTCTCCCAATGGGGGGGGGACTGTAATGATCATCATCCCTTCCCCCAATAGTCATCGTAATCAAAAGGATTCCATTTCATTTCAGTTCAGTTTGTACAATCCATAAGCATG